GGGACACATGTACTATTTTACTTTAAAACATATTTCAAACTAGTATTAGGAAATTTATTTGAAATAACGATAAGATATTTTATTAATGATTAATTCTTAGTACCTTAGTTAGTAAGTACTCATAATATACCTGTATAATACATGATTATAGGTATAATTTAAAAAAATTATTTATATATTTTAAAATACTATGAAAAATTGTTTGAATTTTCACATATTCTTGTAAATATGTAATAAAATTTTGTCGTATTATAAGTTTTTAATCATTTTCAATTTTTGAAAAGTTTGAAAGTTTGGATAACAATAACAACAAATCTTCCTAGTTATATACAGAATATTACTTGTTTATATATCAAAATTTTTATAATTTAACACCTATGAATATAATAAGATGATAAAGTTTTAATAAATTTACATCTGAGACACAAGAAATAATAAGAGTAAAAGCGTAAACAAATGAGAAATAATATAATAATAAAAATGACAAAATGTATAACAATTAATATAAGAAAATCAGTATGATCTGGATTTTTTTTCCTTAGGAGATTGTTCATAAGAATAGGATCCAATAATTATAAATGAAAATCACATGCATATATAATCTATTGTAGAATTTAAATTACATTTAGTTCACGTATAAAATGGTCCTAAAATAATTAGTACACTATGATACAATGTTATTTTAACAACAAATTTTTTTTTTACTAAAAGTCTGAAATATCCATGACATATGTATGAGGGATACTTTACTATATTTGTATCTCACATTTAATCATGAAAGTTAATTTGAGAAAAAATATTTTTGACAATAGAATTATTTTGAATTTAGTCAACAAGTTGAGATTTTTTAAACAATAAAAGTGAAATATTTTGGGAACTTAGTTGTTTATTTTCCCATTATTAAAAATTGCTATATTTTAGCAATTGTTGCCATTGACTTTTGATTCTGTAGACTAATTTTTATCAATGCAAAATTAGTTTTATTAACAATAATTGAAGTTCCATTGATATGAGGATTGGCATTTTATTGCTATTATTTTATATGTAAATAGTTAACATAAGTAATAAAATAAATAATAGCTACTTAAAAAAAGGAAATTGGTGCTCATTGATTGTGGTGTAAAATATTAGTATACAATTAACTAGAGTTTGAAATGGAATTAAATTTATTTAGTATTTTACGGCTAACAACTTTGACCCCATTTAATGGTTAAAGAAAAAATAGAAGAGACGTAGAGATTGGGATTGGTTTCTTAGCGTGAAAAAGGAAAGTTCTTCTAAATTAATGCTGTGTGAAATGCTGGATGCATATGAAATTAGAAATGTGATAACTTTGCAATTCATTCTCATTCATGATGAATTTCTTCGATTCTATATGGAATCGCAATTTTTTTTGTTCAGCATGAAAATATTCTTTTTTTGTCATATTGGTGGCTTTTGCTTTTAAGATTATCTACATGTCGGTGGTTATTATTATTGACAAGGTTAGAGGTCATGGAAAATGTTGCTAATTTTAGGAGAAATTATGTATTGTAAAAATGGGTTAATAATTTTCTATTAAGCATAACTACTGCATACAAAAGGAAAAGATATTTGATTTTATTTTGCTTTGATTAGAAGAACTTGTACTAGTAATAAAAGAAATTTCAATTCAGCAATCAACGTGTACATGATTACAGTAATTTTTTAGTTATTTAGACTAATATATGCCATAAAGTAGTCAGATTTAGTCGTTTGTGATAATTTTAACAGTTTACATAAGATTCATCTATAAAAAATTATGATGATTATAAAATGACATTTTATAATAATTTACATACCATTTGCTAATAAAAAAAATAGTTTGATAGAAAACATATGGATACAAATCCATAATGTAAATGATACAAAGTATGTTTGAAAGTCACAGAACCTAACATATGGGTAATTTTACTATAATTTTCAAAGATTATACTATGTTAATACAACTTTAATTTTTATACTTGTGACCCAGAAAATAAATTTATTAAGATTTTCCATTTTATTAAATTCATAGGCATTAATATATGAAAATTGTGTACCATTTTATTATATTCATAGATGTCAATATATGAAAATTGTGATGTATAGATAAGTGCAATTCTATATATAACTCGAAAGATTTGTTGTTACTGTCATCCAAACTTTCTAACCTTTCACAAATTCAAAAATAATTCAAAATTTATAATATGACAAATTATTCTTACATATTTTATAAGGCCATATGCAAAAAAAAAAAAAAGAAGTTTTCATAGTATATTTAAAATGCTTAAAACATATAACATTTATAAATGATACGTATAATTGTGTATCATACATTTACATTACGAGTAATTACTAACTATAATACTAAACTTCAATTATTAATAAAAAAATCTTAGCATTATTTCAAATAAACTTCCTAATACTTGTTTCATATAAGTTTCTTTAAATAAAATAGTAAATTTATGCCACAAACTAGTAAGTTTTGATGATTAACCAAATTTACTATTCTATCAACAATATTTACTATTAATCTGTAAAAACTTACTATTACTTGAACTAAACTTACTCTCCAAAAAGTAAGTTTCGGATATAGAGTAGTAATTTACTTCAAAAAAAAAAGTAAGTTCCATATTTATTCAAATTTACTTTTTGAGACATAAAAGTTACTAATTTATTGAGTTAACTTACTATTTTTTATGTAAAACTTATTAACCAAAATTTTAGATACTATTTTATTTAGATGACCAGTACAACAGGTAATCAAATGGTCGCTAAAAGTGTTTTTACCTGTTATATCAGGTAAAAATAGTTTCGTTACCATAACGATAGTTACTTCAGACTTTTCCAACACTTCTAATGAACAAACAGTTTCTAATTAGTTGATAACTAACCGCTCTTTCTGCTGTATTTTTTGATAAGTTAACACCAATTTTTCTTGCATCTGTTGAATTATGAGGAACAACCCAGATTGTGCCATTCTTCGCTTGATGATCACTTCTTTCTGTCTTTTTTTTTGGGTTTACGGTGCAGCTTCCTAGCTTTCAAGTCTGTTTTGAGAAGATTAAACAACTTTCAAGAATTTCGTCAGGGCTCCAAGAACATGAGTTGGCTTTTGGATAGCTGCTTTCATCTTTGAACTTTAAATCAAAAGGAGCCTTTTTGTTAATAGCAATTGGTGTTTTAATGGCTAAAATGTGTATTTATTTTGCTTGTTGGCTAACATTTTTCATGTTGGGTAATAATTTTAGAAAAGTATTAAACTAGCTAATAATTTTTGAGAAATTATTATCCTGAAAATCAACTCAAAGATTACATATCATAGTGGGACTAGAGTAGTGAGAAGAAGAAATCTAAACATACGTAAAAGAAGTAATTAGAACTAGTATTCTTTGAGTTTAATTTCACTTTACAACTTTCAATTATATTCAATTTTTTTAATCCTTAAACTTTAAAATAAAACACTATGTCTCTAAAAAAATAGAATCTCTCCAACTTTAATCTCTGAAAGTTTAAAATTGTTCCACTCAAGTATAAAATCTATCCCACGTCTATCAACGAGTTTACTTAAGTGGGACAAAATTTATTTTAAAAAATAAAATATCTGATTTTAAAGTTTAAAAAATAAAGGCTCTGTTTGGATTCAAGAGTTTTTCAAAAATTAGTTTTTAAATACTATTAAAATTTTCAAAAAATACTCTAAAAGATACTCTAAAAAATAATTTAATTTTTTTAATATTTAAAAAATATCCCAAAATATATTCTAAAAACTCTTCTACTCTTAAATATCCCAAAATATTTTCTAAAAATATCTCAAAACATACTATAAAAACTCTGTTATAATAAAATTTTTTTAAAAATACCGCCAAAAACAACTAATCTAAACGGAGTCAAAGTAAGTTGAAGGATGTAAAATGAAATTAACAGGTATTCTTCCAACCAAAATGTCATCGGACTAGAACTCTTACATTGACGTGGCATCTTACCACTGGTTTAGGGTCTCTAGACCACGTAACAAAAAACCAGCGTTTACTTTAAGTCAACGGTCCCCACGTCGGTAGAGTGTAGACTAATCCAGACGACTATTAGATCACGATGATGAAATCGACGGTTCTCCAGAATCGGCGTATGATGAACTTTAGCACACATGATTTTATTATACAATACTATATATTTTAGGGTTAATTACATTTACCTCCCCTGAGGTTTGATCATATTACCAATCAATCCCTATAATTTATCCAAATAACGGTTTCACCCTTTGAATGATCAAACATTTAACAAAAACTCCCTTAATGCCGAAAATACCCTTATTGAGGTCATGTTGCATTAAAAAAAGAACATATTTTTATTTTATTAACCCTGAAGCAATCCAAAAAAATAAAAAAAAAGTTTTTGCTTATTATTTTATAAAAACCATATCTTTGCTTCCATAAATAGTTTTGAATCAATAATTATTTTAAATCTTAAAAATGAATATTAAAAATTAGATAAATTGAAAGAAAAATAAAAAAAGAAGAAATTATTTTAATTCCTGGAGTATGGTTCAAATTGAGGAAAACATGTCTTGTGCTCTCCGCAACATGTCTTGAACCACAAATTCGAACCATACTCCAAGAATTAATATAATTGCTTCTTTTTTTATTTTTCTTTCAATTTATCTAATTTTTAATATTCATTTTTAAGATTTAAAATAATTATTGATTCAAAACTATTTATGCAAGCAAAGATATGGTTTTTATAAAATAATAAATAAAACCTTTTTTCTATTTTTTTGGATTCTTTCAGGATTAATAAAATAAAAATATATTCTTTTTTTAATGCAACATGGCCTCAATAAGGGCATTTTCGGTATTAAGGGAATTTTTGTTAAATGTTTGATCATTTAAAGGGTGAGACAGTTATTTGGACAAATTATAGGGATTGATTGGCAATATAATCAAACCTCGGGGAGGTAAATGTAATTAACCCTATATTTTAATTTAGGCTCCTTTGGCGATTTAAGCCAAGAAAGCATAGGAAGAACCTGGAAAAGAGAAAAAGGAAAAACAGGAAATTCTCTCTGCGATGGCTTACGTCGAAAGAGGTACTTTCTGTCTAAATTTGGGGTTTATCTAATGCAACGATTTTGAGAAATCTTCTTGATTTTGATCACGGTTTTGAGTTGATTCTAATAGTTTATTGTGTAAATTTCGTGTGAATTGCAGATTTGATGTTTTTTTTTTTTTTTAAGGTTTTCTTCTGCTTGGATTGGTAGTCAATTAGTTTTGTTTTGAGGTTTTTTTTTTTTGTTTTTGAGTCATTTTAGTTTGCTATATTTAATGGTTTGCTAGAACATATTTTTATCTGCAGCAGTGGAATGACAATTGGATTATAGAGTACAGATTAGGGCATATATTGATTGAAATAACTTAGGGTTTTTTGAGTTAAAATTTATAGACGAAGAATGATTGTTCAATGATCACACATGAAGAAGCTGAAAAAAGGGGAAAAAAAAAAAGAGAGAAGAATGAACAGGATTAAGATTGGAAACTTTAGTGGAAAGGGCTCGCCAATGGAAGTTGAGGGTTCAGTTTTTGACCATCAAGCTGCAACTTGACATTTGATTAGTGCGGCCAAAGTTGTCAGCCTCAGGCCCAGTTATTACTAGCTTAAGATGAAATTCTGTTGCATATTAAGCGTCTGTGAAGCGATTCACACCTGCTTGATAAGTTGTAAAAGGGGCCTCTTTTTTTTTTATTTTTTTTTTATTTTTATTTTAAATCCATCTTGGTAATAATGTTTAGGACAACCTTTCTCTGGTCACATGTTCTGAAAGTTTGTCATTCACAGAGTTCTCATATTGTTGAAATGATCACCAGCCCAATTTTGTTATTTTTCTGTTGCATATTATTCATTTGTATCTCTATAATGTGTAAATTCTATATCTAAATGTTGATATTGAATTATATTAGAAGATATTATCTCTATCGTATGCAATCCTTTTTATGGTGAATAAATTAATTTCTTCGTCTTCTCCTTGAATAAGTGGATTTTGCCTGTGGAAGAAGGTTGTTTGGAAGCAAAAGATTGGCCAGTATATGAGGGGTAACATTTGAAAACAATCCATGCACAATTAAGGAAAATGGAAAGCAATCGCATGAATATAGTGTTTCTTTGATCACTAGTCTGCTTTTGATTCACTTCTCTGTGTTCTTGTCACATTGGCATAAGGAAATGTTGGCTATCTAACATTTGGGTTCCTTTTGGGTCTTGATTTTTGGCTTGTTTCAGTTGCATTTCATTTTTCTCCCCGTTCTCTCATCTAGAGAGCTTTTTTGCAGTTCTTTTAGGTATATGTTAAGAAACGATGATTGGTGTCCCTTTGATATGCCTTTCAATATTCATGTAGACATGTTCATACAGGTGGCATGATACTACACTTATACATACCTAATAGCTATCAAGCTTATTGAACATTAAGGAAATCAAGGTTTTGTTTCTTTCTCAAAGCCCAGATGAACTCAGATGCTCCCGCGATTGGTAAAGTTGAACCTTGGTAGTTGGCCACAAAAGATGTGGAAGGGAAAAAGAAAAACTTTTCTGCTACCCAACCTGTATATTTCTAAAGTTAAGATATGGCTTCAGTATAGACTATCTGGTTTGCATGTCTGAGGTATTGAACCCTCTGATGTTTTACAAATAACACCCGCTAAAAAAAACAATGTGCTTACCATTCTTTCTTCAGTAGGCAATGTTTTCTTATGGTATTTTTACAGCATTTGTTTGTAGGCTGGGTTTCTGGGGTATGAAAGAGTGGTAGAGGAATTACAAAGGGAAATAAAGTTCTAAGATAATGGCAACTGAAATAGGACATAAAGTTGGGTATTACAGTGGGTATTACAGTCCTGAAGGCTGAACAACTTTCTGCTACCAGTCAAATTGTGGAGGCAAGTCTGTCTTGATCCCGCATTTTCCAGATTCTCTGGCATATGGAAATGTATCTTGTGGCAGTTATGGAGTACAAGTTTCAGAGTTTATATGCTACTGTGTTTCCTAATTGGGATTTCATCTTTCACTGCTAAGCTAACTTGCAAATATTGACATTGGCAATGACTATTTTGAAGAAATACTTCGATTTGCAACCATAACTGATGCTTGTTGGTTTGCATCAGGGCTATTCTTCATGGGGCTTTAAAAGATTTGTTCACAGTTCCTCATTTCAATATGTTTCTGTAGTAAGAAGTTCTTGGCCTGCTTTTGGTTGTTATTTACTTATTTTCTGATATTGAACTTTGTGACCGAGAATGTTGAACTTGTATGAAGTGCTGGGCATTTAAATTCTAGACTTTTATGTGGCATGTATTTCTAAATTTATGATTGTATTTAGTGAAAAATTTGTAGGCCTTTTTTTATTATGATCATGTGAAAAATTATGGTCAATTGTAGCCATGAATTGTAAGCTATGATTATGCTCATAATTTGGTTAGGAATAAGTTGATAAAATGATGTTTTTGTTAGATTAATTCCAAAAAATCGAGCTAACGAGCTGCTCACGAGTAAAAAATTTTAGCTCACAATTCGAGCTGCTCGCGAGCCAGAAATCGAGTTTCAACTCGCGAGCCTTATCGAGTCGAGTTCGAGCTCAATTCTCTAGGCTCGTCGAGCTCGAACTCGAGCCCACCTATTTTTAAGTCGAGCTTGGCTCGATAAGTCCAAAACTCGACTCGGCTCGGCTCATTTACAGCCCTACGTGATACCAAGATTTTGGAAAACACATAGGAAACACAAAACTCGCGCTCTATTTGCCTACGATTTTAGTGACAAGCAGCCGGACTCCTGAAAACTCTTTCTGGGTCCCCCAGGTTCCCGGCCGGCCTAGGTTATCGTGAACCTTCTGAGTTCTGAGGAAGAAGATGAATCCATTGACGTTAGTGAAGCGGATTCAGAACATCAACGCGAAAGAAGCAGCCCTAGGCATCTCCGACGAGGCGTCCTGGCACACCAAGTACAAAGACTCCGCTTATGTTTACGCCGGCGGCCTCCCTTTTGACCTCACTGAAGGCGATCTCCTCGCCGTCTTTGCTCAGTAAGTCCGGGACTCGCTCAAAAGAAGTTATATTTTCAGCGCGGAAGTTAAATTTCTTTCAGTCAACTGACCAAAATAAAAAATAGTAATCTGATTATTTTTTTTATGCTATTATTGATGAACTGATTTTAGGTACGGGGAGATAGTTGATGTTAATCTTGTTAGAGATAAAGGCACCGGAAAATCTAAAGGCTTTGCTTTCATTGCTTATGAAGATCAAAGAAGCACAAATCTTGCTGTAGGTCAGTCCTCAGCATTCAGCAATTTCTGTAATTTTTTATTGTTATTATTATTTCTCTGTTTTTTGGGTTGGAAGATTTTTTTTTTTTTTTTTGTGTATTTTAATTTAAAGTTTTTGGGGTTGTTAGATAATTTGAATGGTGCCCAAATTCTTGGGAGAACAATCAGAGTTGACCATGTTTCTAAATATAAAAAGAAAGAGGAAGAGGATGAAGAGACTGAGCAGCGAAAGAGGGAGGAGCGTGGGGTTTGCCGTGCCTTCCAGAGGGGCGAGTGCAATCGCGGAGCAGGGTGTAAATTTTCGCATGATGAACGAGTGAGTGAGATTTTCTTTGTTTGGTTTTGTTTTTAGGCTTTTTGGATTGGATTCTTAGTTCATATTAAAATGGCTAGTTGCACCATCTTTGATTTTAATTCCTGTTTATCAAAACAAGTAAGAACTTCAATGGTAATGTATTGCTTTCCTGTTTATTGCATTATCACGTATTCTGTTTAATTCTGCTTGGTATTCTTTGCAGAAGTAATTGCTCTAAAACTATAAACTGTCTCCGTTTTAGTTAATTTAGCATACAACTCTTGGTTGTAGTTAATGAAATAACATACTATGGATATTTGGCTGAGTCACAATTTAACAGTCCTGGAAATGTTGCTGGGCTTCCGTAGTTGATAACTTATGAAGGAAGGCTACTTTTTGCTGCTTACTTTATAGCTAGTATGTGTGATAGCATCTCTTAAGTTGCTTGTGCTTTTCTATTCTTGGTTTAGAGAGCTGCAAACACAGGTTGGGGTCATGAGGAAGATAGACGTTCAAGATGGGCCAATGACAAGTTTGAGGGTTCCACAGGTAACAGAAAACAATCTGGTGTGCCAGACCGTGTTCTGGAATCTGCTAATCAGAAAGGGCGTGGGTTGACAGATAAGGACTCCAGAGATTCCAGGGTGAAGGGCACCAAGACGGGCTTAGACAGACACTATGAACATGGTGAATTGAGTCCCAGAGATAGGGGACACAGGGACTATGAGAAGAAATTGGACAGAAAGGAGACAGATGCGAGGCATAGGGATGACAGGAATGATTTGCGTGATAGAGAGTCAAGGAGGCGTGATGCCAAATCAAACTCGGGAGAAGATCATAATGGTAGAGATGAGAAAAGATCAAGAAAGTATGAAGATGGATCCTACACAAATGAGGATAGAGATAGTAGGGGTTTGGACAGAAGGTCGACTCGTGATAAGGTAGCCTCCCCAAGCCGTCCTAGAAACTCTGATGATGATTATCGGCATAGGTCTCACAGGTAGCAGGAATCCTCTAGTTTTGGGGACAGATGCTGGGCGTTTCTAATGACTACAGGCTCTTGTTTTTTGGCTCCACTGTACCCTTCTTCAGGTTGCCTAGTTTTATCATGTGAGGAAAATTGCAGCAAGGCAAAGAATGACTTACTGCATAATGTTGCATTTGCTACACGATGGCACTATTTGATACTTTAATGCTGAGGAAGGCATTTAATTAAGTAGGTGCCTCTCCCAAATGTTGCATTATCAAAGTTGTAATGGCTGTGCGGGACTAGGGATAAATCCATTAGAACCCCTTGTTTGCATCAAGGTAAATGGTTCTTTGACATTCACTTTACTAATCTGCTAAGCCAAGTTTCCTTCTAGAGTTCACTTATCATCTTATTTTCTGTTTAAAATCATTTTGTAGTATCTTTTAATGATAATCTACTGCAAATCTACCGATCTGCATTAATGTTAGATCACATTTATATCTACCACTGACACTTCATAATTTTATAGTAGTAGATTTTATTTGTGGTTCTACAACAGCCACTAGTATCTTCCACTTCTTTTTCCGTTTCAAGCTGAGATTAGGTGTATCTAAAACTAAACTAAAAGCATAGGGGCAATACATCTATTTGTGCTCTACGAATGACATGAATGTTTTTTTGGACATTCTATTAAGAAATTATTTCTTATTAATGTTCGTATAGTGCTTTATTATGTACTTGAAACTTTTCCTGTACCAATAAATAGTGCTTTTCTCTGCTAATTGGTATAGAAAGTCCTAATCAGTAACCACTTACTATTCTTCTTTCTGTTCTCTCTTCCTTTATTGGGAAATACCTGAGCCTCTTTTTTAATCCTGAATGTTACACCCTTTAATCTGCATAAGAATATGCTTTGGTATAGATATTGCGTGTGACGTTTGAAGTTTTACAACTATTACTATAAGAAGTTTTATCCTGTTGTAATAAGTGTATTATCTTCATATTATGGTATTTTATTGTTACAACTTAAAACAAAAATTTGTGGGCTTATCATGTTTTCAGTATCTGAAAAAATATTGAAAAAACTCTTCGGCTTTGAAAGGTTGGAATAGGACTAAGAGAAATTGTTTATTGTTAGTTGTAGCAATTTGTTGGTCTTCATATTTAATTATCCTTAGTATTTGGGTGGTTTTGTGTAGAAATGTACTCCTTTTGGACTATTAATAGATGGTATAAATCAAACGCTCTAATTCTTGAAAGAAATGAAGATGTTAGACTAAATTCTTTTTAATAAAATGAAAGTTTGAATAATTAGTGGTATGCATAGCCCATATACTGACAATAAAGTAGGCAGCAAAAACGCTATTGAGCATCTCTGCTTTTGATACACAAATGCATAGCCGAAGAGGCACTTTTTCATCTTTCTATTTTCTTTTAGAATAGTTCAGGAAAATATCTAAGCAACAATTGTATATTCAAATTATTATCAGCAGGTTGAAGGGAATTACCATCACCATTAAACAAATAGCTACACAAGAACCTAAACTGTTAATGTAATTTCAGAGAAATGCTTCACCACTGTTATTGTATGGAACAGGAGATCCTGCTGAAAGGTTTTCTGTAACTGGAGGTGGACTCGAATAGTGGCGAAAATCTGAAGATCTTAAATTGGAGCTGTAATTAGTAGACATAGGAGATGAACTTTTTCCGAAACCATTTACACCATTGGTCTGACTTTTCATATCTTCAGAGACAGTTTCCTAGAGTATGCTTTCTACGAACTTCTTATCTGCATGTAAGATATCTCCTGTTTTCTTTAAATACCAGAAGGCCAAAGGATTGCATATGATTTATAAAGATGAAATTTAGCTGTCAATAAATGTTGTTCATCCGGTGATTGGAGGTGAGTCCACTAACAGAAACGCAAGTCTTGGGTTGAATATAAAGATCCAAAAGAGCAGTGACTTCCTTCAAGTTTTTCTGATTTTCCCTTCAATATAGCAAGCTTTTGTTCAAGTGAGTTACAAAGCATCTGAAATGAGAAAACTTTAAATTACAGTGTGTGGTATGGCTTAACCACCAAAGGGAATGAAACGCATGCAACTGCTGTTTCAGTTTAGTTCATGAAACATTTCAGAAAAACTGCCGACTTGTAGAAGTTCTGATGTAGCTAGAGAAAGGAAGAATCAAAAGGGGAAAATGAATTTTTAAGTGAAAGTGAAAACATTCACCTACATTTGCCTTTGAGGGATCCCCACTGAAAGAAGCAAGTGAAGAATGGTGGTTCAGATCCTTCAGTGACAACATAGAGAGGGGTCTGCAATCGATGCTGCTTAAGTGAATTTTCCATCCCAAGGAACTTCTGGTTTCTCCGAGGTAGAACAATAAATGAATAACATGGATATTGTAACCAAAGGTAACATAAACCACGATGCGTCACGCATGGCAAAAAATCATCAATATGGGGATTGAAAATGTTAAAGCACAAGTTTAAAGAGCATATGTCCTAGACTTTAAAGCCGACATAATGTGTTCTGTTCTGGCTTAGAGATCACAGGTTCTTGAACCATACACGTCAAAGAGAGTATGGATGCACCATATAATTTTTATTCTAGAAGCTGCTAAACCAACATATGCTAAGGCCATATGAAAGCAAAATCTTCCGAACAGGCCAGAAAAAAAAGCTAAATGAATCATTCAAGAAAAGCATTCAATCATTACCAGGCCAAGAGTAACTGAGTAAGAGCTTGATGCTTTGACTTAGCAGGTGAATGGTGCCCCGCCCAGACATAGATATCAGAATGGCAATCTAGTACTAGCACATCTTCTGCTGTTAAATCACGCTGGGAGAAGTTAACCGTCTTCCTAATGTCACCTGAAACTTGGTTCCATGAACTATATAGACAAAAAAATCTCAGCGGCCATTACTTTGTTGTCCGGTTGACTTTTGACTATTAAATAATTTTTTGTAATAAATTAGCCACTAAACTAACCAATACACTTGTGGTCACTTTGTCGACTATTGCTCTTAATCTACAAAATAATCAGAACACGTGTTAAAATGCAAATGTATGTTTGTACTATAGGTATTTTTTGTAGAGCAATAGTTGACGAAATGGTCATGAGTGTGCCGATTAGTTAGTTTAGTGGTTAATTTGTGATGAAAAATTATTTGGTAATCAAAAGTCGACGCGAGTAATAGTTTAATATCCGTTGAAATTTTTGCCCAACTATATATGTCACATGTAATAAGGTCCACGAATCACTGCAAAAATGTGATCCTGAAGAATAAACTTGTCTTAAATATGTTTCTGTCCTAGTCACATCCAATAAAGTCTATAACAAAGTGTAAACAAAAGAAACAGGAAAGGAAGGAAAAAGAGAAAATGCCCCTTCACCTTTGAAAATCTGTACCTTTTCTTGCATCTGTTGAATTATGAGGTACAACCCAGATTGTGCCATTCTTCGCTTGATGATCACTTCTTTCTGTCTGTTTTTTTGGGTTTACGGTGCAGCTTCCTAGCTTTCAAGTCTGTTTTGAGAAGATTAAACAACTTTCAAGAATTTCGTCAGGGCTCCAAGAACATGAGTTGGCTTTTGGATAGCTGCTTTCATCTTTGAACTTTAAATCAAAAGGAGCCTTTTTGTTAATAGCAATTGGTGTTTTAATGGCTAAAATGTGTATTTATTTTGCTTGTTGGCTAACATTTTTCATGTTGGGTAATAATTTTAGAAAAGTATTAAACTAGCTAATAACTTTTGAGAAATTATTATCCTGAAAATTAACTCAAAGATTACATATCATAGTGGGACTAGAGTAGTGAGAAGAAGAAATCTAAACATACGTAAAAGAAGTAATTAGAACTAGTATTCTTTGAGTTTAATTTCACTTTACAACTTTCAATTATATTCAATTTTTTTAATCCTTAAACTTTAAAATAAAACACTATGTCTCTAAAAAAATAGAATCTCTCCAACTTTAATCTCTGAAAGTTTAAAATTGTTCCACTCAAGTATAAAATCTATCCCACGTCTATCAACGAGTTTACTTAAGTGTGACAAAATTTATTTTAAAAAATAAAATATCTGATTTTAAAGTTTAAAAAATAAAGGCTCTGCTTGGATTCAAGAGTTTTTCAAAAATTAGTTTTTTAAATATTATTAAAATTTTAAAAAATACTCTAAAAGATACTCTAAAAAATAATTTAATTTTTTTTAATGTTTAAAACATATCCCAAAATATATTTTAAAAACTCTTATACTCTTAAATATCCTAAAATGTTTTCTAAAAATATCTCGAAACATACTATAAAAACCCTGCTACAATAAATTTTTTTTAAAAACACCGTAAAAAATAGCTAATCTAAACAGAGTCAAAGTAAAAAAATGGAGTCAAGTAAGTTGAAGGATGTAAAATGAAATTAACAGGTATTCTTCCAACCAAAATGTCATCGGACTAGAACTCTTTCATTGACGTGGCATCTTACCACTGGTTTAGGGTCTCTAGACCACATAACAAAAACGAGCGTTTACTTTTAGTCAACGGTCCCCACGTCGGTAGAGTGTAGACTAATCCAGACGACTATTAAATCACGATGATGAATTCGACGGTTCTCCAGAATCGGCGTATGATGAACTTTAGCACACATGATTTTATTATACAATACTATATATTTTAATTTAGGCTCCTTTGGCGATTTAAGCCACGAAAGCATAGGAAGAACCCGGAAAAGAGAAAAAGGAAAAACAGGAAATTCTCTCTGCGATGGCTTACGTCGAAAGAGGTACTTTCTGTCTAAATTTGGGGTTTATCTAATGCAACGATTTTGAGAAATCTTCTTGATTTTGATCACGGTTTTGAGTTGATTCTAATAGTTTATTGTGTAAATTTCGTGTGAATTGCAGATTTGATGTTTTTTTTTTTTTTTTTGTTTTAAGGTTTTCTTCTGTTTGGATTGGTAGTCAATTAGTTTTGTTTTGAGGTTTTTTTTTTTTTTTTTGAGTCATTTTAGTTTGCTATATTTAATGGTTTGCTAGAACATATTTTTATCTGCAGCAGTGGAATGACAATTTGATTATGGAGTACAGATTAGGGCATATATTGATTGAAATAACTTAGGGTTTTTGAGTTAAAATTTATAGACGAAGAATGATTGTTCAATGATCACACATGAAGAAGCTGAAAAAAGGGAAAAAAAAAGAGAAGAATGAACAGGATTAAGATTGGAAACTTTAGTGGAAAGGGCTCGCCAATGGAAGTTGAGGGTTCAGTTTTTGACCATCAAGCAGCAACTTGACATTTGATTAGTGCGGCCAAAGTTGTCAGCCTCAGGCCCAGTTATTACTAGCTTAAGATGAAATTCTGTTGCATATTAAGCGTCTGTGAAGCGATTCACACCTGCTTGATAAGTTGTAAAAGGGGCCTCTTTTTTTTTTATTTTTTTTTTATTTTTATTTTAAATCCATCTTGGTAATAATGTTTAGGACAACCTTTCTCTGGTCACATGTTCTGAAAGTTTGTCATTCACAGAGTTCTCATATTGTTGAAATGATCACCAGCCCAATTTTGTTATTTTTCTGTTGCATATTATTCATTTGTATCTCTATAATGTGTAAATTCTATATCTAAATGTTGATATTGAATTATATTAGAAGATATTATCTCTATCGTATGCAATCCTTTTTATGGTGAATAAATTAATTTCTTCGTCTTCTCCTTGAATAAGTGGATTTTGCCTGTGGAAGAAGGTTGTTTGGAAGCAAAAGATTGGCCAGTATATGAGGGGTAACATTTGGAAACAATCCATGCACAATTAAGGAAAATGGAAAGCAATCCCATGAATATAGTGTTTCTTTGATCACTAGTCTGCTTTTGATTCACTTCTCTATGTTCTTGTCACATTGGCATAAGGAAATGTTTGCTATCTAACAATTGGGTTCCTTCTGGGTCTTGATTTTTGGCTTGTTTCAGTTGCATTTCATTTTTCTCCCCGTTCTCTCATCTAGAGAGCTTTTTTGCAGTTCTTTTAGGTATATGTTGAGAAACGATGATTGGTGTCCCTTTGATATGCCTTTCAATATTCATGTAGACATGTTCATACAGGTGGCATGATACTACACTTATACATACCTAATAGCTATCAAGCTTATTGAACCTTAAGGAAATCAAGGTTTTGTTTCTTTCTCAAAGCCCAGATGAACTCAGATGCTCCCGCGATTGGTAAAGTTAAACCTTGGTAGTTGGCCACAAAAGATGTGGAAGGGAAAAAGAAAAACTTTTCTGCTACCCAACCTGTATATTTCTAAAGTTAAGATATGGCTTCAGTATAGACAATCTGGTTTGCATGTCTGAGGTATTGAACCCTCTGATGTTTTACATATAACACCCGCTAAAAAAAACAATGTGCTTACCATTCTTTCTTCAGTAGGCAATGTTTTCTTAAGGGATTTTTACAGCATTTGTTTGTAGGCTGGGTTTCTGCGGTATGAAAGAGTGGTAGAGGAATTACAAAGGGAAATAAAGTTCTAAGATAATGGCAACTGAAATAGGACATAAAGTTGGGTATTACAGTCCTGAAGGCTGAACAGCTTTCTGCTACCAGTCAAATTGTGGAGGCAAGTCTGTCTTGATCCCGCATTTTCCAGATTCTCTGGCATATGGAAATGTATCTTGTGGCAGTTATGGAGTACAAGTTTCAGAGTTTATATGCTACTGTGTTTCCTAATTGGGATTTCATCTTTCACTGCTAAGCTAACCTGCAAATATTGACATTGGCAATGACTATTTTGAAGAAATACTTCGATTTGCAACCATAACTGATGCTTGTTGGTTTGAAGCTGGTGGTCATGAAAGCAGTCTATATCTGTCTACTATTGCCTG